CGCGTTGGGCTTGAAGCTGGGCAAGCTCGCCACTGAAAGTGAGGCGGAGACGCTGCATCTCCTGATGCTGGTCAGCAATGACCTGCTGAGTCTGAGCATGGAGCGCGTGTTGAACTCCTTGCCAGCGGCAAATGAACCCAATGTGGGTGTTGCTGAGCAAAAGAGCCATGGTGCGATGTCAGCAGAGAGTCCGCGATTACACGAGAAGTAGTATGCGCTGAGGTAGCTCAGGACCTTTGCGATCTACTCACACCATGAGAACAGCGGGAATGCCAACGACGGCGGCGAAGAAGAGACCCATTTTGGCGAGGGTATGTTGATGAGTGAAACTGGGATGAGAATGATTAAAGACCGGCGAGTTAGCTGCTGCGAGGGCGAAGTGAACCGAAAAGTGTGCTCACGATGATAGAAGGAGTGTTGTGCTTGTAAAGGAGTGGGCGAATGAAATCGCGCAGGTGAAGGGTAAGGAGATGAGATGTGAGTATCGCGGAGGCGATAGGAAGGTGGGGTGGGAGTTGGAGACTAATGCGTGGGTAAGCTTCGGCGAACAGAGAATGAAAACGAGCGTAGTGGACAAAGAGCGTCTTGCTGAGAGAGCGTCGAAAAGAGTGTGGTGCGAAAAGAGCGTGCTGAGAGAGAGTGTGTTTATCAAAACGAGTGTGCTTAAAGAGCGTGGTGTTCGAGTTCGATGCCAAAGGAGAGTGTGTGTTGTGGTTGGGTCATGGAGGGGGGTGCGTGCCCCAGTCATCTTTAAGTGACACGGGGAGGGGGGCTTTTCCAACAAATCAGACTTTGCTCGAGCTCGACTTGACCCCTTTGCTCATCCAAACACGCAACCCTCGGTGCGTGCATAACGGCTTTCCGGTCGATGCATTGGCTCGCATAAGCACTCACGCTTTTCCTCTGTGCCCTTCGCTCAGCGCTTGAGGACTAGCTGCAGCCAGCACTGCCCAGCTCCATTGAAGAATTTGAATCGCTTGCGCTCATGTACCCCGTGATGCTCGAAGCCTCAAGGGCTCAACGGCTTCAGCGCCCACAGACAAACGTTGACAGTATCGATCGTTTCAGACCTGCCCGCCATCGTGCGGTCCGGCTGGCGCCGGTGGGCCCAGCTTGCATACAGCGTCTTGACGCACCGCAATCCTGGAGACCAGGCTTCTAGGCAGTACATGAGTATCGTTCTTCGCGGCCTCTCACTAGAATAATCTGGAGACTTTCTCAAGACCATGGCAAACGTGTTGCGAAGCCATGTCCACGAGTCTGATAGTGAGAGTCGAGCGAGTCGGGTATTCTGCAGTGAAGCACGAATGTGCGTGTTCTGACGGTCATCTCTTCATCATGGCTTCATTCATCAATGCCAGATGATTTGGTGCTTCGCTCCGTGTCTCTGTGATCGATCCGCACCCTGCTATCAACTATATGAAGTGACTTTCATCAGTTTGCTCTCGCAGAGCTTCCGGACCGCACGCATGTTCTGTAGTCGTAGCACGTGTGACCTCATTTGCACGGCGGTCACGATTCATCTTTGCGCAAGCATTCAATTTATCGGACATTAATTTAAGATGGCGGACAGTGCAAGAGCTTCACACAAGCGACCGCGGGCAAAGGAATACTGCATACGACCCTCTTGAGCTTGCTCGAACCGGACACACGAGCGGTACGCATTCTTAAGTGAACAACTTCATCCCACCTCCATCGGACAGGGCGCCTATTACTATCATCAAGTCTACCTGCAGTGTCTCCGACTCTTCACTGCCGATGACGATCCTAGCAGTCGATCCGAGCGCCGAAGTCGCGCTCACTCGTATCGTGTTAGGGACTGCACCTGTCGCAAAGCTTGCATAGTCGTCACAGCGTCCGCATGGCCGGAAGAGCTTGACCACATCCTGCGATGTTGCTGATTCTCTTCGCTTGCCATATTGTGGCTTAGTGTGTCGCCATACGCTTGTGTGCGAGCACATTCGTGCACCCTCGACAGCGTAAGCTATCGTGACAATCTATGACCGAGCAGAATGGCGCGAAGGTAGCGTAGACGAGAATTGCGAATGGAGTTGCACCTAAGGTAGTCAAAGGCACCGGACTATGGTTAGCGGTGCGAAGCTTCGACCCTGGTGCTACCTTTTGCCAAATGCTCTGAGTCTCTTCGGGGCACTCACATGAAGAGGAGAGCCAACTTTCACTTGTCTGTCAGTTGTCCGAGACGAGAAGTCGATGGCAGCAGTGAGCGCGGCGGCAGAAGTGGGCTGGTATGTCGGCGCTCGGTGTGAGAGGCCCGAAATGTTGGGCACCGATGAGGAGACGTCGAAAAGATCGAACATTGCGAAGTCTGGACGTGAAGCGGCACTGTGCCAGCAAGGTCCACGATGTTGAGGCAACTTGCTGTATAACCTGTGTGCTACGTGTCTTCGAGACGCTGGTCGAGTTCACGAGCACGCCAACCGATTCTCTAAAAGGAGTCTCGGCAAAAGGCAAGGTGGGGTCAGCTCTTTCGTAAACGAAATCATCGTGCGCTAGGCCTAGCTACATAGCTTCAGTCGATAGCAGTTTATGATCAGCACTCGGCGCTTCAAAGCGCGACGTACAATACCTGCCTTCCTCTCAAAGCGCAGCCGCAACACTTGCCGTGGGATGGATACTTTGTTCATGTCCCAGAACCATATCAGACGGGATGAAGAAGTCGAAGGACATACGATTCGTTGCTCGTTCTGTAGGCTTTAAGAAAGTAACATGTTGGAACTGACGGCTTTGCCCAATTCAAGGTCCCGAACGTGCTTGGCTAGAACCTGCTTCAGTAGAACGTGCTTGGGCAGGGCTTCCACTGAAGAGATCCCGAGTCAGCTCGAGACTAATGCGAATCTCACAATCCTTTCCTGCTCCTCTTGCATAAGCGTTGACTCACCTAGAGGCTGTAGGTCCTTCCATGTCTCTCAGTCTGCGGACCTCGCACGCCAAGTCAGTCACTCTGTCGGCCTGTCGGCCGCTGTATTGATGAGATGCGAGAAGGGAGTCGAGGAGGTTGTTCATCTGCCGTTGAATTCTTTGTTGCAAGTCTGATTCAAATTGCAGCTGGGACTCCAGGAGCTCGACCTGACGTTTGATGTCCACCAATTTGTCCTCAAGCTGGGGCCATGAAGTGCAGAGTCAGTTTCCGTACCATCTTCAGCACTCTGTGCGAGCCTGACTCACATCACGCAAGGCCCTAGGGAAGGTTTCTTGCAAGGGAGCTTCCATTTTGAGGTACAGACTCTTGAGAACAAACCGAGCGGATAGTGGCTTTGATTGTGCTTGCTTCGGATGCTACGTACGAGAATCAAAGACAGAGTCAGGTCGTCGTGCGGAGCTCTTCTTGTACGCGTTGCTAACTTCTGTGTGCTCCCGACGCAAGCTCGAGACACTCACAGAAGAATCGCTCAAGCCTGATGGCTGAGCCAGGTTGGGTAGATGAAGGACGTGATGTCAAGAGCCAGAAAAGAGATTCAGCTGGCTTCCAAAGTGGTGAGTGCTGATCCTGAATTTGCCAAGGCGCTCGAATTGGAGCAAGAGAGCTTGTCTTCTGCTTTGGCAGATTACGAGTGTGCGCTCGTCTGCTTCCAGGCATTTACAAGCGTGCTGGTCTCGTGGCTGGCCTCGTGCCTTGCCCGAATGACGCACGACGAGCAACATGTTTCTCATGACTGATATTATGCTCGACTACCTCGTAACCCACGTCGAGCCAGATACCAGGAATTGGGGTGCCTTGAGCGGTGATCGAGGGTGACTGACGGTGGGTGCATGTGCGTGCACTCTGACTGATGCCGCATGCTGATCTCAAAGCAGCGGCCCCCTGCATCCATGCACGCCTGCACGGCATTTCTCACGATGATCCTGCTTGGGCGACGTGCCCTTATAGAAATCTTGCGGTTGCCTAGTAGCGGTTGCATGCGCATGCATGGCTTGACTCGTCTGGCCCGCGGCGCTTGCATGCCATGCTGCTGGATGGCAATCGATCTCGTGGGCTCTAAGCTGGATCCCTGCCGCCCCGGCGGCAACAGCGTGTGAGGCCATCACGATGAGTGCGTGAATGAGGCGGTCGCTGTACTTACCAACACGATGTAAAATGCGGACTGGCAGCAGGTTTGGGAGAGGAGTCATAGTTACAGCGAAGGGGGTCGACATTCACACTCGTGACTTGTATATGATAACGCATTCAAACTTCACTCGGCAGTCTGTGCTTCTTGATTCATATTCCTGATTTAAATCACGACTGTGACTGTTTGGGCCACGAAACATGCATCAGCACCGCATTCTGATTCTATATTCACGTGATTGAGCATGCACAACTAAGTAAAGATCAGCAGGGCGCTGCATGCAAGCCGTGATTTACCATTCTTGATTTTTGTTTGGTGATTGCTGCACGCGCGCGCGCACACAAATGAGGACTCGGACTCATGCGACTCGTGACTATCAGCATGAAATAATTCTCGTGGCATGCAGCAGCAGCGCATGGGCCTCTTCGGTCAAAGCGCATTCAATCATTCGCGAGGGCGCCCTCGAGTCTCCGCACCGTCACTTATGACTCAGAACCGTTCGCAATTCGTGAATTTGATTCAGTTTTGATTCAAGTGGTCGTTGCTCACACTTCCCTGATCAGTCAAGAGTGACTCATGACCTGCTTTTTGATCCGGAATGATGCAGAATTTCGGCCGCCGAGTGCTCCTGCTGGGTGTCTTGTTGGCTGCCGGCGCATGCACCGCGTCAGCTACGTCATACTCAAGATCCGCGGCCGCGCACGCCTGTGCCTCTTGGGGCAGCGCAACGCGGAAAGCCTGCATAGCCTCCTTAGCATTGATCGCGACTCGACTTCACAAAGCCCGTGAAGAGAACATATTCACGATTGCACACCTACGACCGTGAACTCTGATTCAGATGAGTCATGTGAGTGTCTTGATCTTAATTTGTCTAATGAGTGAAGCATGGACAGTCAAGTCAGCCTTTCATCCGCAATAAAGACATTTCGGTTAAGTCAGATTCCAGACTGTGACTGACCACACATGTAAAGCGTTCCATATGGCTACGACCAAACGGCCTACCTAAAGCGGTCTTCCAACGAGTCTTTGGAACTCACAGCTTCGAGACGTAAAGTCGTGGATGTTACAGTCAACGGTTGTAGATCCCAACGAGAAGTGAACTTGTTACAGCGAAGCAACGTCACTCGTGAGCCCAGTCACAAATCGTTGCTGGGCCCTTCGCCGACCTAGTAGCACCTTTGAAAATCTGGAGAGCTGAGTCCACAACAACTTAGTGGCCTAGTAGAATGCTATGGAATTCGAAATGAGATGTAAGGAGGATGGGTGGCTGTTGGTACAGTAATACACAAGTGCTTGAGAGAAGAGGACTAGAGAGCCCGTTCCCGAACGATGTCAAAGACAAGAAGCCTGCTTTCCGTGGCTCAGAGCTACCGTACACGAGCGACGCGGACCATCGTCACGCTATGAATGCCCAATATGTTGCTTTTTCTCCAAAATTGTCCAATCGAGAGTGCCCAATGAAGCAGTCCAAGGCCGAGAGATAAGTTGATGCGTGTGAGAAGCACGACGGCAGAGCTGTCGAGAAGACACTCAAAACTTCGATGGGCGAAATCAGAGAGCAAGCTGGTAAATGTGAATAGAGACCTAACAGTAGGGGCGCGATCCGAACACGAGACTGTCAAGTGGAGACTCACATGCCTGAATAGACTAAGGATCTCCGGCGGCAGGCAGCGACACCGACACTCCTTGCTTCGCGTTTGCACTCGGGAGTTTCCATAGGCCCAACAATCCCTCGAGGAAAGAGGAAGACGCATTCGTACTCGCGGACGAGTTGGCTGATACTTGCGGCAATGAAATGGTGGCGAGCGTGCCGTGAACTCCGGAGACGCTGTTGCGCAACAACACGAA